ACTGTTGTGGCTTCTCCCGTTGCGGAGCACAGGCTCCGGACGTGCAGGCTCAGCGGCCATGGCTCACAGGCCCAGCCGCTCCGCGGCATGTGGGATCCTCCCGGACCGGGGCACGAACCCGTGTCCCCTGCATCGGCAGGCAGACTCCCAACCACTGCGCTACCAGGGAAGCCCAACAGTCTATTTAGAGTTAAGTTTGTACCACTTTACAAAATATGCAGAAAAAAAAATCTTGCAATCATATAGATCCATTTACCACAAAACCTTATCCCTTATAGCAAAGTTGCCATTTGAAAGTCTATATACACCTACATACATTATAGACTCTACAAGACAATGTTACAGTTTTTTTTTCAAGCAGCCTTGTGTATTTTAAAGAAATTAGGAAGAAAAAATAGACTTTAATAATATTTACCCAGAATTTTACCATTTCTGATGTTCCTCATTCCTTTTGAAAGACTTGAGCTTCCATCTACTACCATTTCCCTTCAGGCTGAGCAATTTCCTTTAGTTTAGGTCTGCAGGTGATTAATTCTCTTAGTTCTCTTTTATTTGAAAATTCTTTGCATTAGTTCATTTCCACCGTCCTTCAGGTCCCGTCTCACCTCCTCCACGCAGCCTTCCTGGGCTCCCAAAACACAGGAGGCCCTCTTCTCAGACACTTTATTGGTGCTGGAGGACGTGTCTTTAATGTAGAGCCACATTGCAGGAGGCTAATAAGCCCAAAGGCCATCCACAGAGTTGAATGCTTGGTGGACGACCAGTCCTCTTTCATCCATCCTTCCCTCTCTCCTTCCCTTTCTCCCTTCCCTCTCTCTCTTCAGATCCCATTTCTTCTCAGAGGAAGAGGACCATAAGAGGGCAAGAAGCAGCCTGCAGAAGCTGACCGGGGAGACCCCCTTCTTGACCCGGGTCCCGCCTCCAGCAGTGCGCACTCCCCCTCCCCTCCCGTGAGCTCCTAGCGTTGCTACTCGGAATGTCGCAGCCACCGACAAGAGTTGTCAGAGCTCTGCAGACAATCCTTTTACTGCCGTGCCCATTACATTCTGGGCTGAAGGAGAGTGGGGACTTTGTGTTGTGGACCTGGGTTCTAAATCGCCACCTCCCTCCCGGGGGGCTAGGTTGGTCTCTGTTTGGGCCCCTTCACACCGGGTGCCTTGTCCAGACTGCACACCCGGCAGACACGTCGTGGGAAAGGAGTGGGGCTCAAAGAGCAGGCGCGGAGATTTTTCATGGAGGGGGGTGTCTGTTTGGGCAAATTTGGTGGCAGTGGGATCTAGTGTGACAAAGAATCCTGGTGCAGCCTTCAGGGACCCACATTCCAACTCTGCCTCCGACTCCATCTCACCGGAGACATTTGTGGGGTCCCTTCCTCTTCCAGCCTCAGGTTTCCATTCTGTGCAGCAAGAGGTCAGCTTGTTCCAAGTTTTCTAAGGTTTTTTTTTTTATGGTCTGAGACTGTATCCCTTCCCTTTACCTCCTCAGCCAGCACTGCATCTGCCTCTACCGCCAGGAGAAGTCTGGGTCTCTGTGGAACGGAGTTCCCCAGGAAACAATCTGAGGGGTTTTTAAGGAGGCCCGCTTTTTCTCATCTCGGTTTTCCTGGTTTTGCTCTCTCACGGTGAGTCCAGGGCTCCCCAGTGCCAGGTGCAGTGAAGAAGAGTTTTAGCCATGGCATCGGATGGATCTGCATTCGAATCCTGGCTGTGTGTCCTTGATCAAGTTACAGAATCTCTCTGTAAGTTACAGTTTTCTCACCTGTACAGTGGAGATAGTAGTATTGATTGCACTGGATTATTTGGAGGATTAAATGCAATAAGGCAGGTCAAGTCCTAACACAGTGCCTGGCACGTAGTAAACCTACAGTGAATGTCATCATTATCACCATGATCATCGCTCTTTACCACCTCCTCTCTTACCCCAGGGAAAGAGAGCCCCCCAGAGTCTGAGGGGGCAGCTTGGTATGGCTTGAGCCCTCGGTATGGGCGTCTGAGGAGGGCTCTCCAACTAGAAGACCTCCAGCTTCCACGCACAAGTCATCCAGCAGGACTTGTGCCAGGACCCCAGTCAGTCACTCGCCAGTGTCCACACTTGTGGGCTGTCGTGAGGATAAAAGAGCTCCCCCTGCACAGCACTTGGCCCAGGGCCTGCCCACAGTCCTCGGCGAATTGTAGCCAACAGGACTGTTGTCACTACCACTAGGGTCAGCCACATCTGAGGCTGTACTACAGCGTGATGAGCTGCAGAGTCAGGTGTGGGCGGGGACGGCCTGGGGACTTGGGGGAATTTGCTCAAGCACGCTGAGCCTCGTTTTTCTCATCTGTATAATGGTGGGATTAGTGCCGCTCCCTGCACAGGGTTGTTAGGGGATCACGTGATCAAAACACAGGCATGACAATCGCATGAGCCGTAATCCGGGCCACGTTTTGTGTCCCACAAGCTCTCCTCTTTTTGGGGGGACCTTTGTTCTGTCCGCATGCCAATGTGGCAGAGGGAAAGAGCCTGACACCCATTCTTTCTCTGCCTCTTGTCCCAAGAGCCTTCAGCTCCAGGCTGCACTTGGCCCCATATTGAGTCAACCAGCGGCCAAGTGACAGGAAAACTCACAAGGAAGGGACACGTGTAGATTTTTTTTTTTTTTTTAATTCAAAAGAACATAAGAAAACAAAAAAATACTTCCCAGGATGTGCTGTGATGCAACATCACAGGCATGTGAAGCACACACAAAACAAGAAAAAGATTCCAGGAGCAGCACGCACAGACCCCTCTGTGGCGGTCTGCAGCCCCTCCCGGGCTGCGAAAAAGGAAGCACTTCTTCAGCCTTGTTTCTCTTGGCAGACTCAGCCACCTCCAGCTCACTGGTCCATGACGTGCACACAGGAAGCTGGGCTTTACAAGATTTTGTCAGTGGGCAGTGAGGGGGTGGGGGGGGTTTGGGGTGCACACTGCTCCTCTCCCTGCTCTGCTCATGGTCTGCGGGACTGGGGAAGCAACATCCCTCTGTGGGGAGAGTCTGGACGCATCGTCCTGCAGGGGCACAGATCTGGGCTTCTCCCTTGAGTAGTAGCAAAAGGAGTGTCGGCAGGTAAGTTGGGGGCCATAGAATGAGGACTTGGACCAAGATGAGATGTGCCTAGGGCTGGTGCTAAATCTGATGGATGGCCAGAAGGCAGTGGGGAGATTTGCATATGCTTGCCCTCATCAGCTCTCCACACTGACCTTCCCTGGCTGCTCAACCAACTCCTCCATCCCAGCCTTCATTGGCCCAAACTTTGGGAGTCATAGAGACCTGGACTTGACTCCTGGCTCTGCTGCTTCCTAGTTTGTATGACCCTGGGAAAGTTACTTAACTTCCTCAAGCCTCAGTTTTCTCATCTGTAAAATGGGGAGGTTTATATGACCCTCACAAGGTGGCTGTAAATAGAAAGTACGATCACGCCTTCAAAGAGCTTAGTACAGCAAGCACCCAGCACATAGTAAGTGCTCAATAAATGGCCAAGTTGATTACTGTCATGCAGGCACCAGTATTTCTACTGCAAAGCTGGTTGTGGGTCTGTGGATGGATATGTGATAAACACAAGGTTTACACAATGTTCTAGAAAAACGATGAATTCCTCTGAGCCTCCTGTGTATGTCTGGGCAGTTCGGAGGTCTTGGACCACTTGGATGCTGAAATGGAGGACCCCGAGTGTGTCCATCTGGCTCGGGAGCTGTAGTGTTTCTAGACCTCGGTGCCCTCCCTGGGGTAGAGGATGCTGTTTGTGTTGACGCTGTTGTAGAAGTGAGGGCTGAACTGGTTGAGGACGGAGCCTCCGTAGCCCAGAGCATTGCTGGGTGTGGGGCTGGCCCACTCACCCCCGCCCGCGTGGCCACTGAAGTTGGTGAGTGGGGTGTAGGAGTTGAAGTTCAGCAAGTTCTGCCCCACCTTGTCAGCGGGCTCCGGGCTCAGTCCCGGCGTGGCCACTGGGCGGCCCATGGGGCTTGACCCACTCACATAGGCTGACATGGTGGAGAGGAAGCTGTTGAGGCACGGGGTTCCCGGCGGGGGCGGCGAGGGCTGCTTCTCTGGGGAGCTGGTGGTACTCGGCGAAGCACCATCCAAGATGTCCTGGGCCTCCGTGGTCTTGGGGCTGCCTGCCAGGAGACTGGGCTCCGTTTTCTCCGAGGCCAAGGAGCCCGTGCTGGAGGAAACATCTGATTTTCTCTTCCTCTTCCTGCGGAAATTTCCATTGTCAAACATCTTCTCACAGTTGGGGTCCAGGGTCCAGTAATTCCCTTTGCCTGGCACAAAAGCAGGAGAAGGTAAGTAGAGAGACGGATCCAATGCTTTGCTTCTGCTCCTTCTTACTGTCATAAACTAAAATTGAAGGTAACAAATGCAGAAAGGCAGAGAACAAAACAGGAATTCCACAAACCCCCTCCAAGGCCACAGCACACGGATCTTTATTTAAGCACCCACCTCACACCAAGGCACCCTGGGAGCACAAAGCAAGAGAGGCCTAAGCCATGAAGGAGTTTACAGTGTGGTCTCTTTAAGAAGTTCAAGTACTGGGGAAAGGTGAGGGTGGGGCTTCTTCCATTGCTGATGTGAAAGAAAACTCAGGGAGAAATTCAGGGCTCCCTGAAAGTCTCGGGGGTGAACTCCAAGGATGGACTTGAGTCCCTGCTTCGGACTGAGGGACTTTGGGTGAGCCTCAGTTTCCTAGCATGAGAAGTGGGCCCATTGGACCTGTTCCCTTCTTCCTCAGGCTGGCTGTGAGAGAGGGCTAATGCTAGATGTTATAAAAGGGGCTTTGTAGCCAGGAAGGACAATCTGAACCCTGCCTGCCTGCGTCTCTCGGCCTGAGGGTGAGGCCAGTCTTTGGATGGGATGCTCACCCTCTTCTGGGGGACAAACAGCCCTGCCCTCACAAGCCTCAAAGAGGGTGGAGGTGGGGTTCCTCTGACAGGTACCCTGGGTTCCTATGTTGGGACAAGAGTGGACTTTAATTCTGGGAAATGGACACATGAGTATTTAATATATTACTCTGTGTACGTCTCTGTATCTTAGAAATTGCTCATTAAAAAATTCACACTGTGGTGTTAGTCACCTCCATTCAGATCCATTCTCCGTCACTGTCACATCATTCTGTGTCACCCGAGGCAGGCTGCTTCACCTCTAGGTGTTATTTTCCTCATCTGTAAAATGGGTTTCATAAGAGCCACCCCACAGGGCTGGATTAAAAGAGACCATGTAACTAGGGCAGGTAGCATAATGTGGCCCTTACTGGTTGTTTCACAAACACCGGTCCCTTCCCATCAGGCCTAGGATACACTTGCCTTTATCTAGTCCAAGCACTCATTTCCCATCCCCTGCCGGCAAAGGACTTCCTACATGCTAGATTCTGGGGATTCAGGTTAATTGTCACAATCACTGCAGTCCATCGAGCACTCGTTAGCACCAAACACCTCGCATACATCATCTCATGACCCCGCCACCCACAAGCCTGTAAAGGATCCACTCTTACATTCCTATTTTTCAGATGGGGAAACTGAGGCTCACAGGTCACTGACTGGTCAGCGGCACGGCCAGGATCCAAACCCAAATCTGCCTCCAGGGTCCATGTTTACAGATGACTCCCTTTGGTCCCCAGTCTCGGGGGGCACGGCCATATTCAGGACTTTCTAGAATGGGGTGTCGGGAGGACTGAGCCTTCCTTGGGGGCACGAGCCTGCAGACCCCTTACCTGGGTCGTCCTCGTCACGGGGCACCTTCTTGAAGCAGTCGTTGAGAGACAGGTTGTGGCGGATGGAGTTCTGCCAGCCGGCCTTGCTCTTGTTGTAGAAGGGGAAGTTGTCGGCCACATACTGGTAGATCTGGCTGAGGGTGAGGCGCCGGTCGGGTGCCCCGTGGATGGCCATGGCGATGAGCGCCGAGTAGGAGTAGGGGGGCCGCACCAGCTTCATCAGCTCCTCCTGCGAGGGGATAGGCAGCCAGCCCAGGTCGCCGCCCCCCAGCCCGGACACGCCGGGCAGCAGCTGTCTCTGCACCCCGTAGGTCTGGGGCAGGAAGGGGCTGGCGCTGGCGCCCGGCAGGTAAGGCGGCGGGGTCATGGCCGGCCCGTTGAGCCAGAGGTAGGGGTTGGGGGTGGCCCCGTACTCGCTGCCGCCCTCGAAGGAGGGGGGCCGCTGAGGGCTGGGCACGCCCTGGGGGTGGAAGAAGTTCTCGTAGTAGAGGTTCATCTCGGGGGGCTCCTGGCCGATGCTGGGGAACTGGGGGCTGCAGTGGGGCGGGGAGGGCGCTGGGAGGTCGAAGGAGCTCATGCTGGGGCTGGGCTCGGCCGGAGCCACCTGCCTGGCACCTGCGCAGGGGAGCTGGCCCTGACAGGTGCTCAGCCGGCTGGGCCTCCCACTTATACCCCAGGGCTCCGCTGGCGGCCCCACCCAGGGGCGGCCACCTGCTGCAGACCTGCCCCTCCCTCCTTCGACTGCCACCCATGTCACCAGAGGGGCACTTCCCTGCTGGCCATGGCCACGGCAGGGCCCATAAGGACACGCTCGGCCAGCTTCCTCGCGGATATTAACAAGGACAAGGGCGCCTGTCTTCTCCTCCTCTGCTTTGCCTTTCCTCCCTCCTCACTGTCTCCCCTCTTTCTCCTCAGCACGTTCCCCGGTTCCTCCTTCATTCTGTCTCAGCTTGCCTTTCCCCTTTCTCTCCTTCTGAGTTTTCTACCCTCTCACTCTCCTTCTCTCTCCTCCCATCCTCTCTGCATCTCACTCTTGGTCTCCTCCCTTCTCTCTATGCACTGAGCTGTTTGCGTCTCCCTTCTTACAGTCTCTCTGTCTCTCCCTGAGCTTGTTTCCAGATCTTTCTACCTCTGTCTCCTCTCACTCACGTCCTCACTACCTCTGCTTCTCTCCCTCTTCCTTTCACTATTGGTCTCTCTCTCCCTGTCTCATGTCATCTCTGTGTCTCTTCTCCAGCCCCTCTGTCTCCCTCTTCCTTCTCACCCTGACACCTCACCCAGATTGGAGGGGACACTTTATGAGAAGCCACATTTTGGGGTATTTTGAAGTGAAGACACATCTTCTGGAGTTTGCAGGAGAGAAGCTGGTCCTGGAGAATCAGAAGCACCTCTGGTCAGTTTCAAAAGGACAGGCAGTTATAGGCAATCTCCCTACACACACACACACACACACACACACACACACACACACACACACACACACACACACACACTGCAGGCAGGCAGAGAAAGGCCTGCAGATTCTCCCAAAGAGGCAGTGGAGCTCCTAAAAATAACAGCAAAAGGAAGAGGATGTGAATGGGACTCCAGGGGAAAATGAGAGGGAACTTGTACTCTCCAGGTTTCTTTCTGGCTGTAGAGACAAAGCAGGCTCTGGTTCCTTATCTGATCACAGTCCCTTCACGTTTCAGCCTGCAGAGGCCCCCAGGGACCCAGGAGCTGAGGCCAGGAGTAGAGCCCACCACAGCCCATTCCCCTCACCCCATCTCTGCCCCAGGCTCCAGAAGCAGGTGCCCCAGCCCAGTTCGGCTTCTCTCTGCCTGTGGCCAGTCCGTCCCCTCCCTGGGCTCCGTTCTCCATCTGTGGGCTTGGAGATGACTTATCCCAGCCGCCCCTCCATCCCAGGGCAGGCCCTCAGCTTGCGGAGCGGGTGGGTCCCCTTCCTCAGAGGGCAGGCAGCTGCCCCTGAGCAGGTTTTAGCAGCAGCTGGAGACTTCTCTTTGGGATCAGCAGATTGGAGAAAAGTTTGAGCCAGCCTCTCTGGTCACCACCTCCCTCTGGCCCTCCTGCCTCTACTTCCTTCTTTCTCCCCATTCAACTTCCTCTCACCTCCTCTGGACCTCATGTGTCTTCAAGGCTGAAGAAGGAGGCTGCTTCCTGTCCCAGCTGGAGGAGATGCTTCCCAGGAATCCTTCCCTGCTTGTGTCTCTGTTCTCCTCCACATCAGGTACACGTGGAAAACATAAATGCCATCAAATGGATCTCATTAACAGCATCTGGGTGCCCAGAGGATGGGTTCGGGCACCTCGGTGGGAGGTGTCCTCCCAGGCCCTGAGGAACCCCCTGTCCTCGCCATAGAACCAGCGAATGAAAGGTGGCTCAGAAAGGGCATGATTGCCCAGGTGAGGCTTGGGGTCAGCACCCTTTGCACTTTCTTTCCGAAGAGCAAAGTGAAAGAGGCTGCATTTTCGTTTAGAGTTTTTCTACCAGGCCTGACTTGCTGAGGGCAGGGCCCTGACTTTTCAAAGGACAGTCACACTGGAGCTCACCAGTACAGATCCAAAGCCTGACAGTGAACCTGCCAATGTCAGTTCTGATCATTTATCCTGCAGAATTAAACAGAGAAAGAATTAGCTACAGGGGTATCCACCATAGCATTATTTATAGCTGTAACAAACTGTAACTCACCCCAATGTCCAACCATAGGGGACTGGTTTTAAAAAAAAAAATTAGTGTCATTCAAACAATGAAATATTATGCAGCTATGAAAAATAGATTGTAGAATATTTAGTGATATGAAAAAATATTATGTTCTAAAAATATATGAAGAAACAGGCTGCAAAATAGCATGTTTTTTTGGTAAAAATACATATTTACACATGTATGTGAACCATGTAAATATAAATATAAAACTGTCCATTATTACTTCAAGATAGAGAATTAGATGTTATTTTGTTGTTGCTTTCTATAGTTTCCGATTTAAATGATTAGAGAAAGGCAAGCACACATGTGATTTTCTTTGGGGGTTAGATATAAAAGGCCAGCAAGAGGCACTGTAGAAGAGATACAGCAGACACAGGCCCTGAGATCGGGAGGACCTGGGTTCAAATCCCAGCTTTGCCGCTGAACAACTGTGCAAGCTTGGCGAGTGATTTAACTTTTCTTGGCCTCAGTTTTTTCAGGTGAAAATGGAAATAATGCTATGAATTCTGTGGATGCTGTGAGCATTCAATGATATAATCGATGTCAGTCATTTAACATGGTGGTTAGAGACACCCTCAAATTTTACTTACTATATAGAAGAGTCAGTATACATTTGATACGTACAGTTCATCACTGAGTTTGCTACCTTTCCAGTTAATTGTTTTTTGCAGCAGCATGTGGGCAGGGGGATGGTATGGCAGGTGGGGATTTACAATGAAGGAATAAAGGGAGGAATACTTAGTGCAGACACCAACTATACAGCTGGACTCTGCCATCTGCAGGTGAGGGTCAGAGGGGCCCCGAGTTACATGACAAGTTCACGGCTGCGCTGGGTTTGGACCCCGTCTCCCGACCCCTTGTTCCGCCCTTTGCCTACTGCCGGGGTCTCCTTCCTTAGAGGTGTTTTTGAGGAATACTCACCTAACCCTCCCATCGCACCTGGGCCCCGGTTCCTTCCCCTGCAGATCAGAGAGAGTCCAGCCTGTCAGGAGGCCTTGCCCACACAGAGGCTCTGGCCCAGGAGTCCGGTGGCCGGGGATCCCAGTCTCTCATGCCCTCCCCCCACCTCGCAACTGGGCCAGGCCTTCAGGCCAGGGGCACCCAACTCATCCCCAGAGTCCTCATTCATTCCTGATTTCAGGAGCACTGCTGCAGCCCTTGGGGTGTGTAACAGGAGCTGCCTGTCCTACCCCCAGGGGAGGTTTGGGCGCTATATCCCGGAAGCCCCCCTGATCCGTCCCAGGGCCTCTAGGAAAAGAGTCAAGTGTCTCTATAAACTAGGGTCCTTTTAGAGATGAAATTATTTTAGCCTTTTTTGAGATTTCCCAGAGGTGGAAATGCAAGCCTGAGAAGGGATGGTCTGCCCGGCTTCAGGGGAAGCAGTAAAAGGTTGGACAGGTGGGGCCTGAGCCAACCAGAGATGTGGAGCAGCAGTTTGCATGTTGCAGTCCAGAGGGAGCACTTCTTGAATGAGAAAAGACCATATATTCGGAGCCCCAGATTAGGATGTTTGGGACAAGGCAATAGAACATGAAAAACATGTACTCTGGGGCTGGGTGGAGCTGGGTTCAAACCCTTCCTTTGCTGTTTGGTAGCTGTATGACCTTGGCTCTGTTTCTTGGCCTCACAAAGCCTCAGTTTGCTTATCTCTTAAATGGAGCTGCACATAGAACCTGTCTCGTGTGCATTTTGCATGAAAAACGATGTGATATATATCAGGTGTAGAGCCCAGGATGTGGCAGACACTGCTGACGAGGAAGAGGGTGATTGTGGAATGCGTGGGTACCAGAGGACGGATACTGACAGGGAGGCTTGGGCAGGAGGCCCAGCATCTATCCTCCTCCACACAGTGTTTTTGCTCTCACCTTGGGACAATCTTGCCAGTTGGGGGCAATGCCGGGGGAGGAGGGAAGGCTTTGCCACTCTTCTGGAGCATGTGCCCAGCAGTCGGCCATAGGCACTGGAGCCCATATGGCTCTAGGAGCCCACACGGGCTCAAGGCCTGCAGAAAGGGTGAATGTGCACAGGCCCCCCCACCCCGTCCCGGGGCCATCACCTCTGATCTTGACTTTCATGGGTTGGAGGACTGTGTGAAGAAACAGGCCAAGGAGGATGAATAACCAGAGGCCAAGGAGGCAGGTGGGGGTCTGAACTGGCTGCTGCTGCATCACAGGGCAGGGCAGGGAGCAGGAAGCTCAAGCTCTGGAGCCAAACTTCCAGGTCTCAGTCCTGACTCTGCTCCTTGGTAAGGTAACACCTCAGATAGCAATCAACTGTCCTGGGCCTCAGTTTCCTCATCTGTAAAATGGGGAAAGGCAACTCCCTCCCAGTGCTGCTCTGAGGACTAAGTGCCAGGCACGTACGTAGCACGTGCTCCGTGAATGTGAGCGCTTGTCAGGGGCTGGGAGCCTGAGGGCAAGGGGAGAGGCCTCTGGGGAGAGGGCCACCAGCTGGGGCTACACGTCCCAGAGCTTGTGCACTTACTTGCCTTCCCTGGATTCCCCCTTTGCAGGCTTGGCTGCTCGGGCTCTGTTCCTTAGTACACATGAAACACAATAGCTCCTGAGTTTCAAGGTTTCTGGAAGCCTGACAGGGTGAGGATTGGTTGGGATGGGGAATGGGGGGATCTGGGACTAGTTGGCTTCTAGCCTAAACTATCTGTGCCACGGTTTCCTTATCTGTAAAATGGTGACAAAAGAGATCGGTTCTCTGCGAATGGCAATGAGCTGTTATCTGGGCCTCCTGTCCTGCCAGGGTAGCAGTGTTCACCAGCGCTGTCTCAGTGTACTCTGGGGGCTTGCCATGGGCTGGCTTCTCTGTCCCCAAGTGCGGGCTTCTAGGAGTCTGGCCCAGGCTTTAACCAGGCTGGAGTTGATCCTGGGTCCCCTCTCTGCTGCTCCAGTTTCTGGGTGATTTTGAGGCTGGAGAAACATAGGCCAACACTGCTCTCTGGTGGCCAACTCTTTAAAGGCAGGGAGCAGAGTGCAGAGACTGGGTGACATCTCTGGTCAGTGGCCCAGGGTTTCTGAGCCCCTTTAATAAAGAGAAAGGTTCCCAGGACCAGCAGCAGCTTCAAGGAGGAAACATGCCCCCTGGAGAAAAACACCTTAACGCCACTGTGATGGAAATAGTGGGAACTGGGTTGGCAATGGGGCAAAATGCCTTAGAAGGCAGCCAAGGGGGACAGTTGGACTGGTCTGGATTCAAATTGGGCTCCTCCAGTTATATTTTCTGAGTGCCTTGCTGTTGTTTAATCTCTGAACCTCTGTTTGCTCATATGGAAAATGAGGTTAACCAGGGTCACCTCCCTCAAAGGACTGTTGCAAGAACTGAATGAGACAATGCAGGAAATGCCTCTGAAGCGATGCTTGGCAATAGCTCATTCCTTCACTTATTCAGAAAATGCTAATCGAGTCTCTCCACGGCAGTAGTTCTGGGCGTGTGTGTGCGGGACACTGTCAGAGTCACACAGTGTTGAGGCTCACACCCCTTCTCATTTTGCCATCTTTGTGCAGTGCCTGTAGTTTTGATTTACTTACAATTTTTTAATCGGTTCTCACATTTCTTTTCCTTCGTTGTTGTTTTTTTTTTTTTTACTTAATGAATTTATTTTAAAGATAAATTCCATACGATTTCTGGGAATGGATCATCAGTACCAGTATCATTTTCCATAAATAAAATAGGGAGAATGAGCATTTATTTAGAGCTTACACCATGCTGGGCACAGCCTGAATCCTTGTCTTGTTATCTCATCCAGTCCTCACAGCAATTATAGGAGGTACTATAATTATCACCATTTTACAGATGAGGAAACTGAGGCAGCACCGGCCTGAGCTTGCTCACTCTGTGCTAGGATGTGAGATCAGCCAAGTGTTAGAGAGGTGATGAAACACATCAGCCAAGGACTTTCTCCTTGGAGAAGGCAAAAGCACTGAAGAGAATTGAAAAGGGAGCGATTTTTCTCATCATGTGTGTGACAGACAGAATAATGACCCCTCCCCAAGAAGTCCACTTCCAAATCCCCAGAATCTGTGAATTTGTCATCTTCCAAGGTAAGAGGGACTTTGCAGAAGTGATTAAGTAAAGACCAGATAGGGTGATTATCCTGCATAATCCAGGTGGGCCCAGTGTAATCAGGATTGTCCTTCTAAGAGGGAGACAGAGGGGGAGACGTAAAAATGGAAGCAGAGATTGGAGCGATGTAGCCACAAGCCAGGGAATGCTGAATGCCTTGCCACCTTTAGAAGTTGGAAGAGGCAAGGAAACGGTCTAGTGGAATCTCCAGAAGGAACCAGCCATGCTGTCATCTTGATTTTCACCCCTAAGACTAATTTAGGACTTCTGACCTCAAGAACAGTAGTAGATAAGTTTGCGTTGTTTTAAGCCACCAAGCTTGTGATAATTTGTGACACTAGCAATAGGAAGCTAATGTAATTGGATTCCATGTTATGTGAAGCTGTGACCACGTGCGCTGAAGATCCCTCCTATACCACCAGTGGCCTTTGTGCTGCACCTAGAGAAACAGTCTGCTCCACAAGGAGTTCCCCTCCCTCTCTCTCTCCCCCTCCCTCCCCTTCCCCCATCTCTGGGTAAAGAACACTGGTTAGAGGCAGTCGCTCTGGCTGGGCTTGGTCACTTATTCCTTTTTTCACTCTGGGACTTGGTGGGCTGTGTTGGCCCCTCTGGGCCTCAGTTTCCTCATCTAGCAAATGGGAAGCAAAGCTGTGTGGATTTCAAGGTCCTGCCCAGCAGGTCTCATATATAGGACCCACCTACAGAACTGATCAAAACCACTCTCCCGGGCCTGTGCCCCAGAGATTCTGACTTGTGAGGCCCAGGTGGGGCTGGGCATAGTGCTTTTAGGGAGCCCCAGTGCACACCCAGCTTAGAGAGCAAGTGATCTGGGGATCCAGGCTGTGTCCCCCATGTTATCCCTTGGAAACATGCTGCTCAACAGCCTGCTCCTCGGACCCCAAAGCATAAAGTCCCTGCTCTGCCGTTTCCAAGCTGTGTGACCCAGGACAAGTGCCTGTGCCTCTCTGGACCTGTTTCCTCACTGTAAATTGGAACAAATAATAGTCTATGCTTCAGAGGTGGTTGTGAGGATTCAACAGTTACTAAAGTGCAAATTGCCAAGAGCAGTGGCTGGCACACAGTAGGTACTCATGTGTGTTGCCCACCACGGCATTCAAGACCCTGCACACACCCGTCTGACCTCTCCCATCCCACGCACCCCACCCCCTCTCTGAGGCCCCGCCTCCGGTTGTGGCCATGTGAGCTTCTCACAATTGCTCAGCACGTGCCTGCCTTTCCTCCTCTCCACCTGGACGACTCTGACTCACCTTCCCATCCTGCCGGGGAAGCCTTCCTCCCCTGCTGGGTCCCTCCGTACCTGGCACACTTTGCTTCACTGTGGGACCCGCAGCACCTTGAGGGCAGGGATGGTGCTTTCTCCAGGGCTTTGGACAGTCCTCATCACGTTCGTGAGGGAGGAGAATGGGCTGTGAGCTCTCCTCTTTACCGTGGTTTGCACTGTAGAAATTGGGGCCACAGTGGTGACTACCCCATGTGTCCCTGTAAATCAGAAGAGTTGATGCTTCTACACCTGGCCCAGGGATCACCTGCTCTTACCTCTGTGTCTCACGGTCAGGGTCGCTATGATTACCCAGGGTCCAGCTGGGTGGATCTTCATGTGACCTGCCCTAACGGCAAATCCTAAGATCCCTGGAAACCACACCTACTCATTTGTAAATGTGGTCATTTAACACTAAAATTCAGGCAGCCACTGTTTATGAGAACCTAATATTTTCCCAAGTGTTCACTGATTTAAACATTTAACACAAAATATGTTATTTGTGTTTAGTTTTAAACTCCATTTAAGATCTGTGTGAATTTTGGGAGTCTGCCATTGGGACATATTTTTCATAAAATCTACTTCCTTTCCCCCCAGTTTTATAAACAGTCAAAAATAACTGCATCTAACTCTCTTAAGAATTTTCTCATTGGAGTCATTAAGAGTTAAATCTAAGAAAAACAATATGGTTAACTGTGCTTATTATTATAAGAGTTTGGGTTAGTAGCCCTGATTATTATAAGGGTTATTTATTATAAACCTCTCAGTAAATAGAAGACATTAATATTTTATAAATAGCTATGGAAGTCTTTTGCATGGTACTTGCACTGCGGGTTTGGTGAACATCAACTCTTGCCTTATCTGTGCTCTGTCCTGACTCCTTCTGGGCAGGAGAAACCCACCCTAACCTCGCTGCCCTACCCCCTTCACAGGGGACGATTCCTTTACCCCCAACGCCTCCGTTCCTCACCTGACCCACTCTTTCTTCCAGAGTCCACCTCTCGCAAAATCCTATGAAGAGAAAAGTTAGCTTTGGGGCTGGTCCTTGCCTCTCCTGATACCCTCGTTATCACACCCTGAAACGTCTCTCATTCTGGGCCTCACCGCTCCAAAGATCTTCCTCTAAGCAGTATTTAAACTTCACCCACGGGACTTCCCTGGCAGTCCAGAGGTTAAGACTTTGCCTTCCAATGCAGGGGGTGTGGGTTCGATCCCTGGTAGGGGAGCTAAGATCCCACATGCTTTGCGGCCAAAAGAAAAAAAAAACCCCGAAACATGAAACAGAAGCAATATTGTAACAAATTCAATAAAAAGACTTTAAAAATGATCCACATGAAAAAAAAAGCTTTAAAATAAATAAATAAATAAATAAATAAATGTCACCCACCGCTCACAGCGCCAGCCGTGAAGCCATGAAGATGCCCTGGTGGGTCCAGCTTTTCAGCTCCCTGGGGACACTCCTTTGCGCACGTGCACTTCCTTGCCCCTTTGGAAAGTGAACTCAGCCAGATTCCGAGCCTCTGGGCGCTGTCACCTCACCTTAGAGCAACCGTGATGCAGCCAAAGCCCCAACTGCCACTGAAACAGAGCTCACTGGACTGCTGAGGAGAGAGTGGAAGCTGGACCGGGCAACAGGGCTGGGGCTTGGTGAGGGGCCGTGGTGGCTACGGGAAGAGACTGGGGTGGACACAGGCGACAGACGGCCCGTGCGTGAAGGCGTGCAAGAGGCAGCACAGAGCTAAAGCCAAGTTTCCTGTCCAGCTCCTGCCAGTTTGATCCCAGCCTTTCCATGTATCACGTGTATGATCTTAGCACACAAAGTGCCTCTGTGCTTCGGTGTCTTCATCTGGGAAATAATGTAAAGTACGAAACTGTTAACCCAAAATGAAATAAACGAATATTTAAACGAACTGAAGTCGTAGAGAAGATTCTTGGGGGTGGCACAAACAAGGTGGACGGATTTTGCACTGGGATGGGCTGCAGCCAGGTTTCTTAACATCACTGGAGGCCCTGGGCCTGCCTGCCCTCCTGACCAGCCCCAAGAGCAACCTGTCCAGTCCTGGGCCTTAGGGATTCAGCTGATGGAATTATACAATGAGGCTTGCTTGAGTCACGGAATCGTTTTTATTGTCAGTAAGAAATAGCAACACTTTGGAGATGATCAGCTAGAAAAAAGATGGGTGGGTTGTATTAAAAAATGTAAAGTACAAAACTGTTAACCAAAAATAAAATAAAAGAATATTTAAAAGCGTTTCTGGGGGCTTCCCTGGTGGCGCAATGGTTGAGAGTCCGCCTGCTGATGCAGGGGACACGGGTTCGTGCCCCGGTCCGGGAAGATCCCACATGCCGCGGAGCGGCTGGGCCCGTGAGCCATGGCCGCTGAGTCTGCGTGTCCGGAGCCTGTGCTCCACAACGGGAGAGGCCACAACAGTGAGAGGCCCGCGTACCGAAAAAAAAAAGTTTCTGTTAAGCTTAGAAAATGATACAAAAATATAGCTCCTTATACCTAAGAAACTGGGCTATAAAAAGGTGTGTCCAGGATGCTGGGGAGAGCATACTGGGAGAAGGCATTGGCAAGTGGATCCTCGTGTGGCTAAGAATCCAGATGGGGCATCGTCACCCAGCACCTGGGTCACTGGCCCTGGTGACACTGGGTCTGTCACCACTGACAGTTCTGGGGCCTAGATCAGCCCACTCCCTCTGTCTGAGTGCAGGTAACCGATGGATGGTCTCCCCACTCTTAGAGGCATCAATGTCCCGCTGTGTGTCTCCTCTTCTGGAAACTCCCATCCTTGTCTCCCCAGGTGCAGCCCTGGTCAGCAGCATCTCACAGGTCGGTGGACATTAAGTTGGAGGTCTGCTTGCCTTCTTCGGCAGGTTTGCCAGCCAGCTGCGCGGGAGAAGAGGATAAAGAGACACAACCCAAAATGGGGTTCTCATGAGCACCAAAGCAGGGCTTCCTGTCCCACTCACAAGGGCTGCTGAGCTGACCCCTCCCTTAACCCAGTGAGCCTGAGCTGCCGTGACTTTGACTGATGTGACCAGAAAGGCTGTGCCACGCAACGGTTAGAACACAGGCTTTGCTGTTTCGTGGACCGTGTGAACTTGGGCAAGTCGCTTACCTAACTCTGTGAGCCTGATAAAATCCTCACAGTGGAAGGTCAAATGGGATCATGTTTGGAAAGGGCTTAGCATGGAGCCTGACTCACTGCACGCTCACGGTGAACTTGCAGTTATTATGGCAGCGGACTCCTGCTCTAATTGCACCCTGAGGATCAAGGTGGTGAAGGTCAGTGGTACCTTCATCTTGAGCAAAGACTGACAAGTAACAATAGGAGACGGGACTTGAGAAGTCAGGGCTTGGAAACAAAACTTTTGAATCGTAGGATTCTGTAATATAAGTTGAATAGGAACGTTCTTCCAAAAGAATTAAAAAGCACTTTTAGCTGCCCAGGTGCAGCAAAGGACAGCTATGGTTTCTCAGGCCCCAGGGGCCCTGCACACCCGTCTGGCACATTCCTGCAGCCCAGCTGGGGTCCATCCTGCTCAGGGCAGCCACCTGGGGACCAAGAGGAGAACTGCACCCTGGGCATTTCTGGCCACCGTCCCCACCCTAGGGGGCCCTGTCCATACCTCCCTGAGGGTGACCATACCGTGCACACGCGCATATACACACACGCCCCCATTTTCTCCTCTCTCCGCCTCCCCCTCTTCCCTTCCCCCTCCCCACACCCACCCCCCTTCCTTGCACTTATCTGGGAGCTCACCATCGTCTTGAAGAACTGATTTACTTTCTTCCGCTTGAGCGTCTTCTTGTCGCCTTCTGACAGAGGGAGGAAGGTCTGGCTGAGGCGGGGGGATGAGTTGGCCTCTTCCGTCCCGGGCATGCCGGCCACCGAGAGCGTGAGGGCTGCGGGAGAACCGAGAGCCGCCGTGAGCGGTGGGCGGAGAGAGGGTGACTTCGGGGGGCAGATGGGAGATGCGCGCGGGGGACAGAGGTAGCATCCAGGGAGAACAGGCAGGGGGCCAGGCAGAAGGCGGGAGGCCCGAGTACTGCCGTGCCGGGACTGTCGAGCCTGTCCGTCCACTGCACTGAGGCCTGCCCAGCCCCGCACACGGCAGCCTGCAACGTGACCCGATCGAGGCCTCGTCCAAGGGCTTCTGGGCTGGGAACACGGGTCCGTG